CTGGGGTTTTCCATTTAATATTTTTGGACTGAGGTTGACCTTGGATAACTGAAACCGTGGAAAGTGAAACCATGGGTAAGAGGGGGACCACTATATACTTCCCTTATTCTAAGTGAAGTTGATTATTTTTATATATTTAGGGGCTACCTGTCTTATTTTAATGAATTAATTATTCATACCCCTTGATTTTCTGCAGGGTAGCTGATTTTTTTTTTTCTTTTTCTTTTTTTCTTATTTATAGCCACTCTAAGTATCAGGCTGATATGAGTTGGAGATATACTTCCCACTTTTGGGTGTTTTAGTCTGGCTTTATTTATGTATTTATTTATTTATCTGGTTTTATTTATGATTTTTCTTATATCATGCAAAATTTTAAAATTTTATGTCATCAAATTTGCCAAGTCCTTTCTTTTTAAAAAAAAATATATTTTATTGATTTTTTTACAGAGAGTAGAGGAGAGGGATAGAGAGTTAGAAACATCGATGAGAGAGAAACATCGATCAGCTGCCTCCTGCACACTCCCCACTGGAGATGTGCCCGCAATCAAGGTACATGCCCTTGACTGGAATCGAACCCGGGACCCCTCAGTCCGCAGGCCAACGCTCTATCCACTGAGCCAAACCGGTTAGGGTGCCAAGTCCTTTCTTTTATGACTTCTTTGCCTTGTGACATACTTAGACTTCCCCCACTCCAAGGTTATAAAAACCAATTTCTCCCATGTGTTAGTCTAGTACTTAAAGGTTCTCTTCATCCACTCCCACCCCATTTAACTCTTAGATTCACCTGGAATTTACTTTTGTGTAAGATGTGAGCTATGGACCCACCTTCTTTTCTCTATGTGGCTAACATTTTCCCCTGATTTGAAATGTCACTTTTACACTGTTTTGTTTTGTGTTTTGTGTTTGGTGGGAAAGGCCAAGTGGATACACTGTGTTCTCTCTCTCTCTCTTTTTTAAAATATGTTTTTACTAGAGGCCTGGTGCACGAAATTTGTGTATGGGTAGGGTCCCTAGGCCTGGCCTGCGATCAGGGCCGATCAGGTTCCCCGCCTCCCCACCTCCTCCTTCCCTTGCTCCCTCAGCACCCCACCGCCGTGGCTGGTCGCCCGCCATGTTCTGCACCGCCCCCTTTTGGTCAGCACACATCATAGCAAGCGATCGAACTCCCGTTCTCCCGGTTGAACTCCCAAGGGGACGCTGCATATTAGCAATATATATATATATATATTGATCTCAAGAGGAAGGGAGAGGGTGAGAGAGATAGAAACATCAATGATGAGAGAAAAATCATTGATTGACTGCCTCCTGCACAACCTCACACTGGGGATCGAGTCCACAACCTGGGCATGTGCCCTGACCAGGAATCGAACAGTGACCTCCTGGTTCATAGCTCGATGCTCAATCACTGAGCCACACCTGCCAGGCTATAATGTGTTCTCTTGATTAAAGGTATTATTCAAAGTGTTTGTTGACTCCATTCAGAACAGTTTTAAGTATTAGCTTTAATTTTTTAAGAGTAGTAGTCAGCTCTCTGGGGCAGTGATCTCTGAACTCTTGGGGTGCCTGCTGTCAGGGAGCTACAGCCCCCTTCTGTCCATGACAGATTCTGCTGTGTGCCCTGCTGTTACTGAGGGGAATGTGTCTCGCACATGATTTTGGGCCAAGAAGTGGTTTTAAACCACTGATCTAGGGATTTCCCTTTAGATCACTGGGGCTTTCAAACATAGAGAACACTTGCTACCCCTGTAGAAGGGACTTCCATTTCATGCAGCCTTATAACATCCACCTGTTGCCAGAGGCCCAGCTAGTGTTCCAGGGTTGTTACTTTAATGAGAAAAGAGCCTAAACAGGTGTCCAGAAGTCAAGGGAGAACCTTTCCAAGGAAAACTGAGCTCTTCACTTTTGAGTACGTTTCTGATCCTCAGATTGTCTTCCCACTTTAGAATCATAGTCAAACTGTACAACTTTACTTTCCTGGGGGAAAGAACTACTGGATTAAGCTGTACTATGGCTGTATTTTGTCACTATGTAGAGCTGGCGATAGAGAGTAAGGTTCACTTCTTTTAATTTGAGACTGTTTAAAGTCAGAAATGAGTGTGGCCCTTTAAAAGGTAGAATTCTCAGGGTGCCCCCAGTATAAAGGCTCATAGAGTTCTACCCAGGGGGGCAAAATGGGTAGGTCTCTCTGGTAGGACCAATGCCACTGACTAGGGCGGATTCCCCGGAAGTGTTCTGTCAGTCAAGTGTTTGAGCGCCTGTGAGGTTTGGTCAGGGAAGATGCACAATGGCTTTTCATTGCATCCACTCTTGTAAAGTTGTTTTTATTTGGGCTACTCACAGAGTAGCTTGTCACTTTGAACTTTGGGGTAGCAAGTGTTCTCTATGTTTGAAAGCCCCAGTGGCGCTGGCTTCCTTTCTCAGTTCGTTTGTTAGCCCTTGGGCACCTTGTCTTCTAGAGGAACTAGGAACAGGTGTAACATAGTGAGAGAAGCTGGGATAGTTGTAAAAGTGTTGTGGGGTCTTTTTTTAGACTATCTTACACTAGAGGCCCGGTGCATGAAATTCGTGCACAGGTAGGGTCCTTAGGCCTGGCCAGTGATAAGAGCCTATCAGCTTCCCCACCTCCCTGCCTCCCCGCCTCCTTTCCTCGCCATCTGCATGCCGCCACTGCGCGGTTCCCCCCACCTCCCTGCCTCCTCCTTCCCTTGCTCCCTCAATGCCCTGCCACCGCTGCTGGTCGCCCGCCATGTTCTGTGCTGCGCCCTGGTGGTCAGCGCACATAATAGCGAGCGATCAAACTCCTGGTCTCCTGGTCGAACTCCCAAGGGGACACTTTACATATTAGCCATATATATATATATATATACAGATTTTTTATTAATTAGTTTGTTCCAGAGACTGTTAAACACTTAAAAATAAATTTACAGCCCAGCCAGTGTGGCTCAGTGGTTGAGCATCAACCCATGAACCAAGAGGTCACTGGATCATTTCCGGGTCAGGCTCAATGCCTGGGTTGTGGGCTCGATCCCCAGTAGAGGGTATGCAGGAGGCAGCTGATTGATGATGTTTCCCTCTGATCAAGGTCTCTATCTCTCTATCCCTCTCTCTAAAAATCAATAAAAATATATTTTAAAATAAATAAATTTACAGAGTACAGTGAATCTCTCAATAAATGGTCATATTTCCCTGGCTGGTTTGGCTCAGTCATTAGAGTATCAACCCCACGGACCCAAGGGTTGCGGGTTCGATTCCCAGCCCCTGTCTGGGCATGTGCGGGAGGCAACCAGTCCATGTTTCTCTCTCTTCTCTCCGCATCCTCCCTTCCCCCTCTCTAAAAAATCAATGGAAAAGGTATCCTTGGGTGAGGATTAAAATAAACGGTCATGTTGAAGTAAAGAAGTAATATCCACTTTATAGATTTAATTAATCCATGTGATTGTGATGTCTGGCCAATGCAATTCTACCATAATAAATATCAGATTTAGGGGAAGCCCTTCACACAGGTTTCTACATATCTATTTAATAACAGTTTTCCTGTTTTCCTTCCTGGGCCATTTTCACTCCTCAAAAGTCACATTATGTTAGTACAGTCATTCCAGCATGCCCTGAGTACCTCCACATCTTAGTCCTAAGAGCACTTTTCACTTACCAGCTGCCCCTTGGACAGTTTAAGCCATGGAGGTGACCTTTTGATAAACTCTTTCTTCCTCCTGTCGCACACATCCTCTCCTCTCCCCTGAAGTTTCACTCAAATGGATTGTAATCTCCCGGATCACTCAGCAACTGAACAAGTTCATCCACCCAGGGGCCAGTCCCACGCCCGGGGTACTTACCCCTTCCAGACCCTTCCTGAGGAAAGCAAGTGTCCTTCCGTGAGCAGGAGTCGATTTTATATTTGTTTAGCCCGTGACTGATAGGATGGGCAGTTTGGGGGAAGCGGAGAGGAGATGGCAGTTTTAAGGGAGAAAAAAACCATTAAGTAGAAATGATCCCTCTGCCTTCTTCGGGCGTGTCCCATTTCTGGGCATCTCTTCAGGATTTCATTCCTCCGTCCAACTGCCGTTCACACACTGCCCTTTCCAACCGCTCCAGAACTCTTGGCCTTGGCATTCCGTGATGTAAGTTATTCCACGCATGGCTCGAAATGGGTGTGAAGCAGTGTTGCCAGGTGTCGGATCACTAGTGTAAGTTTCCCGCATCTCAGGATCTCGGGGGAGGGAGGAGAAAGGGAGAGAACTGCTCTTGGAATTTGTGGGTTGTTATTGTTTGAGCCAGAACACAGTCACTGTGCTGGCTGAGCAGATGCTGCCGAAGGCTGGGAGGGAGGGAGTTCTGGGCCCGGAGCTGGGGGAATTGGGGTTGAGATTTTATAGTGTTTGGATATAGATTGTTTGGAATTGAACAGTTGGTAGCGTTGCTGCCGAGGGAGGAACCTGGGACCTTCGGGGCAAAGCCTGAGGCAGTGCTGCCTGGACTGTGGTGTCTCTTCTGTCTCAAAAAGGAGGGAGAGCGCCTTTTCTGTTTTCCTAAAGATAGCTCAAATGCGGCAAGGAATCCAGATTGCTCACCATGTTTGGAAACATCCAGTCACAAAATTCAAAGACTTCTGTATCCATGAGATCTTTTTCTAAAACAAAAATATTCTTTCTCCCCTTGTCATGATACATTTTGAGGAAGTTGCTGTTGATGGTTTACAGTCCGGTTGGGGAATCTGCATGAGGGGTTGCTGCCAACTATCTTTGATTTGTCCAGATTCCTTTTTGACTTGTAAGTTAAGGATTAGTGTTCAATAAAAACTATTTAAATTGAATACTTTATCTCTTGAATGATCACACACACACAAACAAAAATCCCATTAATAATCAGCAATTAGAGGAAAAACTCACATGCAGTACAGTTATTTATCTAGGAAAGTACATAGTATATTTGTAGGTTGCATGGGTGCTACTGGCTTTAATCCACTTCACTGAAACAGTGTTTTTTTATTCCTTTTCTTATAGTTGTCATGGATGATGATGACGACTCGTGTCTCCTTGATCTTATTGGGTAAGATGCTCGTTCCAAAATCAGGGTGAATCAATTGTGTGAGGTTTCCTCTACTAAAACAACCTAAGAAGCATATTAAAACCAGATGGGTTTTTAAAGTAAAAATTAATCATCATAGTATGGATTAACAAGTAAAGAGACTCGGGTTGATAGGGATCAAACTTAGGTAATGCTTTATTTATCTTTATTAAATTTATTTTCTAACAAGTCCCAGGAATGGTAATAGGAAATAGAACAACATCAATTAAAAAAAAAAAAGTAAGACGAAAAACTACTAATGAATTAAAATAGGGAGATAATTTTATTCAGGCAATTGTGTCATTTTTGTTTTACCCTGGGAAAAAGAATCACATTTATGGTTGCTTTCCCCTTTTTCATTGTTTTCTAGAGACCCACAAGCACTGAACTATTTTCTGCATGGACCTAGTAATAAATCTGTAAGTAATACTTAGCACGCCGCAGATGTAACTTCTGTTTCTTCTCTGCAGTTAAAGTAATCTCTGTTGAATTTGTGCCTTTGCAGAGCAATGATGACTTGACTAATGCAGGATATTCTGCAGCCAATTCAAATTCAATTTTCGCCAACTCTAGTGTGAGTATGAGAGACTGAATGCGGTGATCAGTGTTTCTGTCTCATTGATGCCTGTGAATTGAGGCTTTACTTGCCTTTGTATCAGGATAAGAATGATTACCTTGTCTTTTGTAACTGACATAGAAAGGAAATCTATTGAATATGCTGACATTTTCTACTTTTAACTTAGCCAAGACAAGCTGTATGAGATTTACTATGCCATTTTCCTAAGCTTTCAACTTTCTTTTTAAACTGACTCAGAAATGTTATAATCTAAGAAAGTAGTATTACAAAGTTTGAACCTTGTTACATAGCTTTAAATAAATTATTCTTTTTTTTAAAAAATATATTTTATTGATCTTTTACAGAGAGGAAGGGAGAGAGATAGAGAGCTAGAAACATCAATGAGAGAGAAACATCGATCAGCTGCCCCCTGCACACCCCCCACTGGGGACGTGCCCGCAACCCAGGCACATGCCCTTGACCGGGATCGAACCCGGGACCCTTCAGTCCGCAGGCCGACGCTCTATCCACTGAGCCAAACCGGTTTCGGCTAAATAAATTATTCTTAATTGTAGTTACATGCTAAATATTTTCATCTCAAACAAGAATAATAATAACTGAAACTTATCTAGTATGTTTGAGGCACTGACGGTTTAACATAATTAACTTCATTAATCCTCTCGATAACTCTATGAAGTAGGTTCTGTTATTATCCTTATTCTACAGATGAGGAAACTGTGCACAGAGAGCTTAGTACTCCCCAAATGACACAGCCAGGGGTTGCAGAGCTAGGATTCTCACGCAGGCCACCGGGTTCTAGAGCCTGTATTCTCAAGTTCCAGGAGCATCCACACAGGAAGCCTGACCTGGAGGACAGGGGTCCTGCCTGGAGGCGATACCCAAATTACTGCGTTGAAGCCTATGATTCTCCAAGTCCTGAGATGGTGCCCAGCTGACCGAGACCACATTCGTCCCATTTCAACTGCTGGTTGACTGGGGTCCAGTGCACCAGTCCCGGCTTTTCTACGTAGTTCTTTGCATCATCTGTCCCCAACCCTAGCAGCTCGGGCTGAGAATCCCTACAGCTTTGCACATTGGACCACTCATTCTTGATTGATCTACTTTCAATTTTTTCTTCACGTTAAAGAAATTTTCAAATTGTATTTAATATA